AAGCCTCCTGTCATGTTATAAAATTGAAGATTATGCTAGCTTTAGTGTACTAATAATATTAATTTTAATAAGGACAGGAGGCGAGTATTTTCCCTCCCTTTTGTTCCCTACCCTGACTCCTCTGGGGAGTGGATCTTAAGGTGATGGATTTTGGGATTCATATTAGTAGTTCCACTATCTTCTGGACATATTCGGTATCCCTTCCATCTCTATTCCCAGTGTTTCCACCTAGACGGACAGTTTAGTTGTACAACATGCTTACACCTACACATATTTAGCCTATGGCCAGCTTACAATCTGTCTGTACTGTTTAATTTACACCATTCTGTTAAAGCCCACAGGCGTGAACAGTTACGGTTCAGTACCTAACCGATTTTATACTCTCCTTTCAGTGTAACCCTCTTCAGGACCTCCACTGGTCACTGGTTCGTTAACCTCACGACTCCGTAAGATGGGATAACGGCTTCGTTTGGTCTTTCCTCCTATCTCGTTACCAGGAGTCTCCTCAAGTTCCGCTCGCCAGAGACCGCAGTTACTGTTTCGTTGAGTTTCTGGATGTTCGAGCTCTATCTGGACTTGGATGTCGCTTTAAGAAAGAGGAAGTGTACAGGCAGCATGACCCTTATATAATATGCTGCTCAGTGATTTATTTGTTACTCTTTACGTTTTTCTTTACTGCTGTGGAGTTTAGTAAAGAGAGTTAATGCAAAATACTCGCCTCCTGTCCTTATTAAAATTAAGATTATTAGTACACTAAAGCTAGCATAATCTTCAATTATTTTTTCTGCCTCTTGATACATATATTCAACTTTTTTTGTATCATCCTAATAATGGTGACACAGTATGCAACAGCTTATGTCCATAGAGTATAATATTAAACTGCTGCTAAGCATCCTGACTTACAAAAAAGAATGTCTAAATGCATTCTGACACATCAATTAATGTAATCATAAATGGAAAAAAGCGAAGGTAACGATTACAAACATATGAAGAAACTAGAGGTTTAACCAAGACTAGGAAAATAAAGATTCAGAGAGCCAGGTGAAACAAGTCAAGGTCAATGCCAGCAGTCAGAAAACGCATAAAAATGTGATAACCGGGAGCCAATATGGAAAACAAGACGAGACAAATGTATCAAACACACTTTTTAAACTGTCATGTGTCCTTAAGGGGTTAATTGGATTGAACCAGATGTGACGCAACGAACTTGACTTTAATTAAAAAGTGCATGATGTGAGCGGGCAGCATTTATAATGCTGCTCAATAGGAGAAGAAGCTCAGCAGCCTCCTGATTGGTGTAGGGCCCTTACAGTAACACTAGAGTGCCGCGCCAATCTGGTAGGATTTACAACACAGGATAGCTAGAAGGTTGAAGAAGATTTTAAACTATTGGTATTGCAAAGGGAAACAGAAGTCCACAAATTGAAGATAGAATTGAAATTGAGATGGTATTCATCTTGGGACAAAGGGAGGTGGAGATGGGGAGAGGTAAAATCAAAACAGAGGAGTCATATTATAAAACATTACATACAGTACAAGTTATTCATAACTAAATTAAATGTATGCTTGCTAATGCAATGAGCCTAAATAACAAAATGGGGAAACTAGATGTAGTAGCATACACTAAACAAAATAGGCATAATTAAACATCGTGGAATTAAACATATGCTTGGAAAATTAACCTAAATAGTACACAATGTTTAGGAGGAATTGTAAAAAAATAGGAAAGGTGGAGTGATATGTTTGTATGTGAACCATGAGTTGAAGCCAAATGTACAGCAAGTAATATGTGACAAGAAAATGTGAAGCCTTATGGATAGATATCTGTTTGAGGCAAAGGAGGGAAAATAAAATATTATCTGTAATATGCTATAAACTATCTAATATTATAAATTATATAATATTAATAGAACAGCTGTTAGAATAAATGAGGAAAGATACATATCTAGGTAGCACTTTAATTATTGAAGATTTTAATTATTGGGACATAAACTGGCAGAGAGTGACTAGTAGTTCAGCTAAGGGAATCAGGTATTTTAAAACATTCAAATGATTTTTTTTTTTATTTTTTTTTTATAGTGCCAGCAAATTCTGTTGCCCTGTACAATGGATGGACTAACAGACATGTATGTAAACCAGACACATGGGCGCACAGGAACAGAGGGGTTGAGGGCCTGCTCAATGAGCTTACATGCTAGAGTGAGTGCGGTATAGTGACACAAAGGGTAAAAATAGAGGTAATGAAGTAGCATTTGGGACATAGTGATCAAAATATGGCGAAATAAACTCAAGAAAGCAAATGTGCATGGGGTTATTTAGTTATTAATACTGAATGGCCCTGTACTGATACAGACGGGACTATACTTTTTACAGCCAGCAGGCAAATGGTTAAAAACTCTTGGTTGTATAAAGGAAAGAAGTACGCCTTTGGAAGTCAATAATAAACCCATATTACCAGAAGTAAAGTTTAAAATTACCCAGTGCCCTCATCTGCCTTGCGGCGCACTCTGATTGGTTAACTTATAAGCCAACAAATTTGAAAGCTCCTAGTGTTATTGCACAGCATGGAAAATGTTCCCGCCCAATGTAATAGCTGACATGGCATGCAAAAGCCTATACTTTGAGCACCACAACATTAAACCCACCTGCCTCGCATTGTGTAGGTGCCCCTCGTACTGCAAAGGCAGCTCTGATGCTTTGAGGCCTGGACTCCACAAGACCTCTGAACATGTCCTGTGGTTTCTAGCAACAAGATATTAGCAGCAGATCCTTTAAGCCCTGCAAGTTATAAGGTAGGAACTCCTTGGATCAGATTTGTTGTTTTATGACATCCCACAGATGCTTAATCAGATTGAGATCTGGGGAATTTGGGGGCAAAGGCAACACCATGTACTCTTTGTCCTCAAATCATTCCTGAACAATTTTTCCAGTGTGGCTGAAATAGGCCATTGACCATGATTCATTGGCATGAAGGGATATACGTGGTCTGCCACAATCTCTAGGCAGGTGGTACATGTCCACATTAATTAAATTTTTTCCCCCAAAAAAATTGCCCATAGCATAACACCTAACATATAACACTGGCTTGCCTTCTTACCATAGTGCATCCTGATGCCATTTCTTCCGCAGATAAATGAAACGCATGCACCCGACCATCCACCGTATCTAAACAGAAAATGTGATTCATCAGACAAGGCAACCTTCTTCCATTGCTCCATGGTCCGGCTCTGATGGTCACATCCCCATTGAAGGTGCTTTGGAAGGTGGACAGGGGTCATCATGGGT